TGATCAGTACAAGGGAGAGGCTACTACAAAGAAAGCAGCTCTCTCCTCTAGCTAGTGCTAGCACTCTGGTAAGACAGCCACTTTTGGCACTTTAGGAACAGCCTTGTCAAAGAGCATCACTCTTTGCCTGTTGTTTCTGAAGGGAGGCAAAGGTGGCTGGGCAACCCAGGCACCTGGCCAGTTCAGGTACTGAAAGATGCATGGTGTGAAATGTCCCCCTTGTGCTGGCTGCCAGTAGGAGTGATCTAGCTGGACCTGACTTCACATCAGAATTTCGGATCTTCTCTGAGCAGGGTGTCATTTCTCCCTGTTATTATCTTCACTGAGAATTCTGTTAGCTTGGATGAAAGATTTCTGTTGCTGAGTTTTGTAAACCTTTCTGTGTGTGGCTTGCCAGAAGTGTGGGAGCGTTACATGTATCTGGACTGTTTTACTCTCTCCCTCTTTCATCCTTCTCACCCTGCACGCTGTCCCTTGGAAGTCAGTGACAAAATGCTAAATACAATCAAGAAAGAGTCAAGCTCAGAAATAACATTTGAAAGGGAAAGCTTAGTTCACATCTCCCAAGCAGAAGGAGGTAATGCAGGTGTTTTTGAGCAACATGATCTCTGCAGAAGTTGTTCAAAAGTAACCATTGCAGTGGATAGAGTAATTTGTCAATATATTTTTTTCTTTATATAAAAAGGGCCTGTGGAGAGATTCTGCCATAGACTGACAATATGCTTGGGTTTTCCTTCAGAATTTAAACATATGCTTGTGTCAATCCACAATCTGTGGAAATTTGTAACTGGTAATTGATTGCAGTGTTCTACTTTGCAGCTTTAAAAGCCTCACACCTTCTAAAAGCATTTAACCTCCTTTGCAGTTCTTTTTTGTTTCCTGCATATGCCTCATACTGGGCTGTCATTCTTCTCTGAAGGAACCCACATTTTGCATCCCTCTCTGATCTAATTACCTTGACTGAGTCAACCACTAAAAATTAGAATGTGAGAATTAAGGTAGCAGTGAAGCTTCCATGCACACTACCTGGTACCAATGATACATGACAGCCTTTCATTATGTGACCACATTCTTTTTTCCCCTTCTGTAGTTCCTGAGGGAGTGAGTAGACTTGTCAGGTAAGCAATTAAGTAATCCAAATGCTAGCATTTCTGTATCAGTTTTACAATAAAGAATATTACTCAATAGCAAGATCACTGAAATGTGAAAAGATTTCATGTAGGCCTTTAGCAAGGAGCTGAGTTCTTCTTGTGTACAATCCCTGAAATTGAGAGGGGATAATTTTAAGGTCTTACGCTGCAATGAACACACTTGCAGAGGAAATGTAACTGTTTCGTTTGCAGAGGAAATCCCATATTGTCTGGTTTTATATTTGTTTGGATTCACAGCACCACCTGATGGCTGAAGGCCCATTTCTTCACATGGGGATGCACATCCCTTGAATTCAATTTCTGTTAGAAATGAATATAAAATAATATAAAGATAGTTTGACATACGCAGCATTTCCAAATGTCAAATCATGCCAGTCCTTACTCTGCAGAACTGGAAAATAAAAGCAAAGGTAAAGAGAGAGGAAAGTGAAAGGAGGTGAGCCTAAGCAGGAGTGTGCTCCCTTGTGTGGAATAGCCTGAAACAGAATTTCATCTTGATGGGTTGGAGGGAGAGAGGATATGTTGGAGGAAGTGGATTTGTGCTCAGCACAGTCATTAACTCTAATGGGTTATCCATGCAAATCCTCCACATGGTGAGAAGGGAAATCTCTACATATAAAGCCTTAATGCAAGAATATTTGTTAAATACAAAGTAGTGTGAAATCAATTCCAACACCCTTGAACCTTCCTAATCTTTTTTTAACTATTACATGTGATTTTATTATTAAATCATAAGCTGATGCTGGAGGAACTTACGGGATGAAATTAGAATAAGTTCTAATTCTTCAAAGCTTTAGAGATTTTTTTTCTCTCTTTTACTGTTTGCAGCTTAGTATCAAACCAAGCACTGAAAGCTACTGAAATTTATCAACCTGTCTTTATATCCATATGATCTGGATTATTTTTTTTAACTCTCTTTGGCCTTTTCATAGAGACAAAATTCAGTCATATCAGAGTTCATGGGAACTTTGCCAAAAGAAAACAGGAGGATCCTAGTGATATTTATGCATATGCTTGATGCTAAGCCTGTGGTAGAGTTGAATGTAAGTGAAACAATTCCCAAATGGGACCTAGAAATTAATGTGGTTCAGGGAAAACCTGTTTGTAGCACTTGGTGTTGTTAGAGAAAAATCATTTTGTTTTCTTCACTGCCTCTCGAGAACATTTCTAATTATTACAAAATATATTCTGAGCAGTGTAATGAAGAGCTCTGTTTTCAATGCTTGAAATTAGAAGATAACTCTCTTGATACATCAGTTGACGAGTGTTCAGCCAGTTTGCAGGTGTCCGGGCCTCATTAATGATTGCACTACAGAAACCAGGATTTTCAGGTGCTTCCAGGAATATAGAGACTCCAGCATTGTGGTGGTGTCACCATTTGACTCAGTTTGATGACAATGCTCTCCATTCCCTCCCCTTCCCACCCCTGTAGGGAAGGAGAGAGTGAAAAAGAGAGAGACTTGGCTGGATTGAAAACTAAACTGCACAACTTTAATTAAACACTAATGATAAAAGAAAAGATATACAATCATATACAAATGTGTTCAGGAATGTGCAAAAGCCTCTCGCCTCCCCCCACCCCCAGCAACTTCCCCAGCATCTCCTGAACTGGGAACAGTCCCAAAAAATCCCGGAGCTGCTGCTAGAGAGAGTAGAGAGTGATGAGGGTCAGGAGAGCTCGAGCCTGGGGGTCAACGGTGATGGAAGGACAGAGTCCTCCCCAGACACCGGCCATGGACAGAAGAGAAGGGAAGAAGAAGCAGGAAGGAAGTTTCTTCTGTGATCTCTGACCTTCCTCTGAGCTTACGTAGATACATGGAATGGAATATCCCTGGACAGTTTTGCTGTCTGTCTAATTCAGCCTCCTATGGGGGGATCATAGATCTCCCCGTAGTATCTGAGCTGGCAGAGTAAAGATGTGACCTTGAAGCCCCAGCAGCTAGAAAAACATTCCACTCTTACCAGTCTTAGTTGGAACACTCTGGTGCTAGTTAAAAGAAAGCTGACTGAAGGAAAAAAAATCAATAGCAGGAAAATTGGCTTCAACCTGGCTCAAACCAGGACAGGTGGTTTGACTTTAACACTAATGCAGAACTTTGTAAACTTGTCTGGATTATTGCAAAAAGAGCCAGGGGTCAGTTTGGATTTCTGTCATTTTCATTTGTTGCCTGCCTGTGAGACCTACACAGGCCTTAAGAAAATCCAGTGAGGCTGTGCACAGGAACTGCAGCTTGTTTGTCTCTGTGCCATGCTTATAATTTCTGGTATTTGAAAAGTAGACCCTTCGGGTAATGAATTTTTGTGACGAGATAAGAAAAACTGATGCTCCACCCAGATTATCTGATGGCCTGAGCAGGGAGAAGGAATTGGGAAAGGGGAAAAAAATACAGAGAAGGAGTAAAAATAAACATTTTCACAAGCAACTCCATCTTAATCAGTTTGGCAAGTATCGATCATCCTGCTCATGTTTGGAGTGATTGTTATTGCAGCAGTACCCCTGTGTGGGACTGCTAAACCAGCTGGTAATTAAGTGATCGCACATCGAGCAGGGGCCTCTCCTGCTCAGAGCAGTGAACACGTTTTTGGGGTGTGTGACTTGCAGACATGAGCTGCTGGGTGGTTTGAAAGCACTATACATGTACACATTTCCTGCGTCTCAAACAAAATCAGAAAGGACCAGAAGGACAAGTGGACAGATTGTGGGAGATCAGAGGAAGAGATGCTGTGAGAGAAGGGGGAGTTGGGGTGAGCTTCCCACTGTGTTACCTGCACAGATGTATCTCTTGTGCAGCCACTGAAACACACCATTTTTGGCAAAATAACCTAGGGATTATGTATATGAAAAATAGATTATTGTACACAGTGACTCCCTGAATTATAATGCTCTCAACTCCCCGGCAAGAAGCTTCTGAAAAGCAATGCATGAATTGCCTGATTTACTCTCCTGTGCTTAATAATTCCTCTTGTTTCCACAGGCCGATGTTGGCTGGATGCTCTGGAACTTGCCCTGCGTTGCTCCAGCCTCTTCCGGCTCAGTGCCTCCAAGCAGGGGAAGGATGGAGAAATGAACTGCTCAAGTGATTCTGCACATGTGGGGCTCAACCACCTCTTGCACGCAAGCACTATCTCAGACCAGGAGTTCTTCCAGTAAGCTGAGCCTATCACTTCTTTTTGCGCAGAGAGGTGTTGCACAGCACACACTTAGGCAGTCTTTAAACTTGAGCAAAATCTGGCCAGTCTCCACCAAGGAGACCTGTTTAGAACCCAGCCTTCTACTGTATCCATCACTAATATATGGGTTTGGTGCATGAGAGTTTTGGTGTCACCTAATACCTGAGCACACAGACTGGGAGGAACTTCAGCTGTTTTCATGTGTACGTGAGCAATTTTCTTCTGTCCCCTGCTTGGGGCAAAGTGGAGCTGCTGGTGTGAAAAATGGCTTGTGTGAGTAAAGGTTGCAGAATCTAGCTACTAGAGCAGGCCTGTGGTTACACAAACACAATCACTAACAATGTCTGCTGAGCACATATGCCTTGGAGTCTGATCTATTTTTTAATAATGTTCTTTTTGCTAATAATAATGTGTCATAGTCAGTAGAGTGCACATACTGCCTCCTTAGTTTTATAATTACTTTCTCTCTACAGGGGTTTTGAGTGGTTTCCAGTTTCCTCCTTAATGCATCAGATAAATTTTTACATAAGGGAAAAAAGTCCCCACAGCCTTATTTCTATTTCATACTGCAGCATTTTGGACAAGCTGACATCAAAACTCTATAAGGATTAAAAAACCCCAGGCCTCATCTGTTGCATATAGCTAAAAAGGCAACCTCAAAAATCTCTGTGGAAAAGACACTTGCCCCTTGGTTTGGGAACTGAAGAAATGTAGTATCTATTTCTGGTTCTGCTGATACACATTTTACTTTTAAGGCTCACAGCGATGCACCATTGGTTACACATTTTTTAGAGTAGCAATTCTTGCAGTCTGCAAGGATGACAGCTTGCACAGGGGTCCTCACCTTTAAGTGGCTTTCTTAGGCTCTGTTGTAATAGCAGTAGGGATCTGGGTCTTCTTCGGAGTGTGGAGGTATCTCTGGTCCCATGGGACCAGAAGTATGGCAGCATTTTGGGCAGCCCTTTGCTCTGAAAGGCTCCGGTATTCCCTGGAATTTCTGTTGTTTCAGTTTTTAGCTAGAGTTTGAAGAAGAGCTTTGCTGAAGAGCAGTAGAAGAAAAGGAAATATCGTAAAATCACAGAATCATAGACTGGGTTGGGTTGGACAGCACCTTGAACATCATCTAGTTCCAATCCCCCTGCATGGGCAGGGACACCTCCCACTAGATCAAGTTGCTCAAAGCCTCAGCCAACCTGGCCTTGAACACTTCCAGGGAAGGGGCACCCGCAGCTTCTCTGAACAACCTGTGCTGGTGTCTCACCATCCTAACAATAAAGAATTTCTTCCTAATATCTAACCTAAATCTCTCCTCTTCCAGTTTAAAACCATTACCCCTTGTCTTATTACTACAAACCCTGGTAAAAAGTCCCTCCTTGGCTTTCCTGTAGCCCCTTCAGGTACTGGAGGGCTGCTCTAAGGTCTCCCTGGAGCCTTCTCTTCTCCAGGCTGAACAGCCCCAAGTCTCTCAGCCTATCTCTATATGAGTGGTGCTCCAGCCCTTGGATCTTTTTTGTGGCCCTCCTCTGGACTTGCTTCAAGAGCTCTATGTCCTTCTTCTGTTGAGGGCTCCAGAACTGTACACAGCACTCCAGGTGGGGTTTCACAAGAGTAGAGGGGCAGGATCACCTCTGTCGACCTGCTGGCCACACTTCTTTTGATTCAGTTCAGGATGCAGTTGGATTTCTGGGCTGCAAGTTCACATTGCTGACTCATGTTGAACTTTTCATTGACCAGCAGGTCCTTCTCCTCAAGTCTGTTCTTGACCCATTCTCTGCCCAACCTGTAGTTGTGTTTGGTATTGCCCCAACCCAGGTGCAGGACCCGGGTGCACTTGGCCTTGTTGAACTTCATGAGTTTGGCACTGGCCCACCTCTCTAGCCTGTCAAGGTCCCCCTGGCATCCCTCCCCTCCAGGGTGTCAACACCACCACACAGCTTGGTGTCATCAGCCAACTTGTTCATGCTTTACCAGGGCATATGCCCTAGTACTTGTGCAAATGTCTGTTGCACTTGGGCTTCTTCCTTAATATTTGACTCTCTAATTTCTCTCTGCATAACAGCGAGTCCCTTAGGAGTGTGCTCACTGATACAGTGAATCCACAAATGGATTGCACTTGTTTTTCTGCTGATGGATGTGTACAGAAATCTAATATTAAAATGGAGCCTATGGCACAGAAAATATTCAGGCAGACCCATGGCTACTGTAACCAGGAAGTGCAGAAGATAGAGATAAAACTGTATTAAAGTCTTTCTTAAAAATATTATGCATAAATGACACTTAAATGATGCCTCAGTTTCACCTCTTAGGTGTTCAATATTAAAAGCTGTCTTGAATTACCAGGCCCAGCAGCAACACAAGCAGCAAAGTTTTCAGCAGGACAAAGTACCCTCCATTGCAACCAGATTTTTCTGACAGGCTCAGCTTTTTGCTGAGTCTGGTTCAAGCTGGCTGTTCAGCATCAGGTTGTCTGGACAATTAACTCTCCTTTCTGATTCCTGCCCCTGGTTTTAATGTGTATCCAGACTTCCCTCAGTGCTTAAAGCCCAGGGGAGTTTGATAGTTGCAGGACAGGGAATGACTTGCTGTCATTCCTAGAGGAATAAAGAACATTTAAACGAGGGAGAATGCAAAACCAAAACTGCAAGTGCTGAGCAAAGGGTTTTTGCTTTACCACTAGCAGTGGCTTCCTCACAGGGATTCAATCATTCTAATTAAATGTCTTCCCTACAGGGAATCTTACCAATTAAATTGGCACGCTGTTGTTAGGGGGCCAGTTAATTACATTTAACTCTTCAAATTAGCCAAACTACTCTGTCAAGAAAAGAAAAAGAAAAGGGAGATGATGGATATTACAGGGAGAACAAAACCCAAGGGAGTTGGCAAAGATGAATCTTCCCTTGAGCCAAAGTTGCATTTGCCTTCTGGCTGCTTTCTTCCTTTCCTGCTGGGAAAGAAGTCAAGATTATACAGTGATTTTAAAATTTGTGTCTCTAATAGCAGGTAAAAATGAAAGGGGAGAGAACTGTGCAAGTGAATCAAAAGCTAGAATACTGTATAAATTCATTATTTTATACAAGATGCCTTTAGGGCACTAGGAACTTTTTTTTTTTTTTAATATAAAGTTGTATTTCTTGTGGCTTCCATGTCCTATCTCCAGCAACCCCAGGAATCTGGCTGGTATACTTGTTTGACAAGAGCCATAGGTTAATTTTTTCATTTGTGCAAAGGAGTGGCATTAAACCCAAAGATATCCTTGTCACTGACTGAAGTTTCCAGGAATGAAAAATGCCTCTAGGGAATAAAGTGGTAAGACAGTTCTAATATGCTTGAAATAGTGAATAAACCATGAAAAATGCCAATATATTATTTTGGTGAAGATCCAGTGTTGACTTTTAGCATAGTCATTCCCTCCCAGCTTTTAAAGCCTGGTCCAAATCCCATTGGAAGCCCCTGGGAAGTCTTTAAATTGATTGTAGTTCAAGCTCATGGCGTCGTTTTTGTTTTCAGGAAATCACACTGATTTGGTGATGATTTTCTTTAAGGGAATAGAAGAGCCTGGCTCCACTTTAACATCTCGAATTTGTTCCTCAGAATGAGCAGCATCTCTTTTCCCTTTGATTCCCCAGAGCAGCTCCTTGGCTCTGCTTGTGTTAAGTCTTGCCTGGTTTGAGCCTGGTGGATAATCAGTACACAGCTGAGTGGGATTTCATGTGAATTTAATTCCCACTTGGATTAAAACTGAAATCCTTAAAAAATAAGGGGGTAGGGGTGAAAGGGGATGGGACACAGAGGAATCTAAGAAAAGAGGAATTTGCTGCACTGAAACTTCACATACTTCCAAAATGTGAGGCAGGTGACACTGAAAAACACTCTCTCTTCTTACAAATGTGAAATAAAAACAAGTGCTACTTCTCAGCCGTGAACCATAAGCCTTATAATTAACTGCTCTTTGAAGCATTTTTTACCCCATGGAGACATGTTTTGCTTGGTAAGGGAGCACAGCAACCACAGACACTCACACTCTTAGCTGATCATTGAAAAATAAATTATTTAAATTATCAGCAACTAATAACTTCCTGGACATATCCAGGAAGTATCTGTGCTGAGGAATTATGGGATAATCTCTCTAGGCAGCTCTTCCCTCACCTTTTTCCTCCTTTATTATCTTAAATTCTTGCATGTGCTGTATTGTGTGCTTCCAGTGTATTTGGTTATCAGTCACTACACTTGCTGGTTGCTAGCTAAATAAAAAGAAATAACATCCTGACACTAGAATGATGGAGACAAGGAATTTCTAATAGCTTATGATTACTGCTGGAGTATAGTGGTTATTGACTCTCTGATTTATTATCTTAGTTTAATTCTACAGTAAAACTGTTAAGAGAAAAAACCTTGTAGTTTTTATATGTAAACACATAGACATATATACTTACATACATATATAGAGACAAATGGAGTTAAAGATTCTCTTAAGGGAACAGAAAGCTTTAGATGACACTTTCAAAAGAACTCTAGAAACTGAGCTTCTTCAGGAACTGAGCTGTGACTGTCCCAATGTACATTTCTTGGCATGCTAAAAATCATGAGCTTGTTTCAGTGTGTAGTTGGAAGCTGAGATCTTCTGAAAAGCTGGTGCCAGTTCTGAGTTCTGACTCTTCTGTTGTTTTGTTGTGTTTTTTTAATCTGTCTCTAACTAGCAATACCTAATCATCTTTTAAAACAAACAAACAAATAACAGACAAGCAAACAAACAAAACCAAACAAAAACCAACCAGAAAACAGAGAGAGAACAAAGGATGGGAACTTGAACCATTAATCTGTAATCAAAATTGGAATGTGCCCAGAATGATGTAAGAAAAGGCTCATCATGGAGAGACTTCAAGCTTGTCAGAGCATTCCCTTGAACTGAGGAGAGAAATCTTGTTTTGAGAAGGAGATGGACTTCAAGAGGTAGCAGGACTCTTCAAGATCCAGGGCCTGTTTACATCCTTTGAAACTCCTTGTATAGCTTGTATATTTCCTTAAGTGCTCTATCCAAGAGCAAGTTTGCATGAGGACTTGGTATGACATTTTAAGAGGAAGGTTAAGCTGAGAGCTAGGGTAGGCCATGAAAGAGATTATGTGTGTGCAGACATGTATGAATAGGGAAAAATGAAGCTCATGCTAAAACTCACATTAAAAAAATGAGCATTTAGTGAATACTTTTCAGTGTCTGACCTCTGGCTCACCTAATCCTGTTTGCCATCTGTTGTATGAACTGCATCTGGTTTTTTCAAACAGAGATGCTATAGGCTACTTGAGAGGGAACTTTCTCCTCATTCTCTAAAGCATGTATCACTGAGCTTGCTACATGAAGCTTGCTACACCTTGCACACTTTCCCTTGGTTGCTGTTATAGTCTGGATATTCTTTCCTGTAATTGTCCAGTCCGTGCTTTCAACTGAGCTCTTCCTCACAGCACTATCTGGGGGAAGCACATTCCCCAGGTTAGTTTTTTTTGGGGGGTGTGAAAATGCTTGCTTCTATTGACTTTTAAATTTACCCTTTCTAGTGTAGGGCTGACTTAGGACCACCATCTGTTCAAATAAAGTAGCAGTAACACTGAAAAGACAACGTATTCCATAATGTCATATTTTTCGTTTATGCTACAATCCACTGATTTGTTTCTGTAACAAGAAAAATCTCTCCTGATTAACACCTCAGTTCTCTAATCAGCAGTGTTCAGTTGTCATTGTGTGCTCTGGATCCCTCTGGTATGTGGGCTTCTATCGGGAGCCAGCGGCAACTGCATAATGATGGCAAGTGGAGCGATGTGGGAGATACTGCAAAGTGCAGTTTGGAGGGGAGAATTTTGATGGAAAATACCTCCCTGTTTCCATTAAAGCCCTGCTGTTCAGGAGATCAGTGCCTTATACTCTCTTGGGCTGCACACCTTATTTTGAGTGCTGGGAAATGTTCTTACTTTACCCAAAAGGCCTTATTGTGAATCAAACTGAGACAAGTAATGACCTGTGTGTTGCAGTTTGAATGACTCAGCTCTGGAGAATCACCACCATTTGGAAAATGATGCTTTTTCGGACAAGTCTGAGAGAGACAACGTAGAAGAGTCGGAGAATGAAACTCATGAGAACAGCCGGAAGACAAATGAAAGCGAGAGCGATCAGTCAGAAATCCATGGAGAGGTCTCTCCGGGAGGGAAAGGGACAACTTATATTGAACAGATCTATGAGGAATTTGGGGAGGTAAAACAAACAAAATCATTTTAATCACTGCATGTTTCTGCTACGATGTCGCTTGTTCATAGTATTTGTCGTTCAGCCTTTTAGATGCATGGCAGTTAAAAACCAGCAGTGTGAGTTCCAGTGTTTTACAGCTAAAGCTATGGAGCTTTCTGCTAAATTACATTGAATTATCATGTGCTCTGATAATTATGCATTATGAGCAGCAGCTCTGCTACTGTGCTTTGGCGTGTTTCCACCATCAGCGATTGCTTTAACCAGTTACTGCATTAAAGAGCTGCATAGCATTGGCACAGCGCTTGTGGAGCCAGTGGGAGGGGGATTCTTATTCTGGGCATGTGTCCTGGCCAATTAGGATGCTCAGTCCTTGTGTGATACAAAATATGATACCTCCCTTTTTTCATTATGCATGGAACATCCTTTTTGTGTGTCCCAATGGAGTGTTCGAGCCACTTGATTGATAAATTACAGTTTCTTGTAGGAAAGCCAGTTCTCATGTCATTTAACAGCAGGAGGATGCATTTCTGTTGCATATAGGAGCTTTTGTTAGCTGGATGTCACGGTGACACCTCTGAGGAAAGCAGCAGTAGAGAGCTGGGGGAGACGATGTGTTGGGTGAGAATTGGTCCCGGCAGGCAGCAGAGGAGCTCTGCTGGGAGGGCTCTGAGCTCTCCCTTGCCTATTGCTTCAAATAAGAAAGTTGAAGTCTCACTGGTGCTCCAAAGAGAAGAATTTTGCTACGAAACTGTTTCTTTCTTGCATGTATTTACTTCTATTTCGGGTGTCAGGTGTGAGCTGCAAGCCCCTGTTACAGAAATTGTACTTGCAAACAGCACTGTTGCCTACAGACACAAAAAAACCCAACTCCTCTTTTGTGCATCTCTCCCCAGATCCCACCCCCGACGCACAGCAAATGGTAACTGGGTCCAAACAGGGGATTCTGAATTTAGCTGAGCAACTAAGCAACAGAAAAATGAAGGCAAATTTAATTTCTATCAACTGCTTATTCTGAAATGACTTTTTGCCATATCACAAACTTGCCCCAGAACTGTTGGTAGGGCAGACTGATAAGGTAGCGTGGAACGAGCCTTTCAGACAGCACTGATGTGTGGGGGGGTGCATGTAAGAGTGAGAGAGATCTCTGCAGTTTTATATTAAAATTAAAAAATGCTGTGAAAACCAAATGGAAAGGACTAAATTTCTGCTTTAGAGAGTGACACTTCATGTAGCTTAAAGTAAGGCTAACCACAGTGTGGCTGCTCAGGAAGAGTTAATGCCTGGGATGCATTCAAATGATGTTCATGTTTGAAAATTTAATTTTCTTTCTCCAGTGGCCTGAAATGCCCACCCCCCCATCTTAGATCTCATGTAGTCCCACTCAGCACAGGGGAACTGCACAGTTGTAGCTGAAACCATAATCCCTGCCTTTTTTACTGCTACTTGCACTTCTGCTGCAAGGGGCACTGAGCAGCACTGCGGGGGGTATTTTTTGTGCACTTTGCCTGCCAGAGGGGATTTTACCATCCCTACACTACAAGTTTGTCTTATTTTGACCATGGAGGACTGCTTCCATTCTTTGCTGATTACTTATTTATCTCCTAAATTTTTTTACACATACAGTAGTAAATCTTAGTCTCTCATTTGCTGAGGATGGGAATGAGAGGAGCTACTTGCATGCACCCACTGGGCTGCAGTGATGCTGTAACAACCTTGGTCATGTCCGTGCTTCCTGAGGGACTGCAGGACAGAGTCCCTTTGGTTAGTGGTCCAGGCTGGCCCATTGCAGTGCTGGGGTTTGTGGAGGCAGTGGCTCAGGAAGGAACACAGCACAGTTGTGCTTCCTACCTTGTGCCAGCTCTCAGAGAGGCCCAGGGCTTTCTGTACCGCTCACTTCAGTGCTTTGGGGATTCACTTCTGAGACAGAGCTGACACCTCTTTGCAGTGGTGTAGCTGAGCATTCATTCTTGCGCCAAGGCCAGGTATGCCTGGGTGAGCTTGGACCCTGTAGGTAGATGCACCAGCAAGAAATGGTTTTCCTGTTTCTGCCCTGAGCTTCCCTTCTCCTGTCATAGACAGGTGAGTCGTCTCAAACAGAAACCGTCTCTGAGGAGAACAAGAGCAGGATGGACCTTTCACGGGTGGTGCTGCCCACCTTCATCCTGGAGCCACGCTCCTTCCTTAACAAGCTCTCTGATTACTACTACCACGCTGACCTTCTTTCCCAGTAAGCAGTGCACAGAGCATGCCCTGCATGGGCCTTCTCGTCTGGTTGTGACAATGTGTTACAGTGTGTTTGTATGCTTGAGAGGCTCCCAGATGACACCCACATTGCTGGATTCAGTGTAAATCAAGCTAGGTGCCTGCTGCAGTGGCCTTTTAAAGATGGACTGCTGCCAGTGAGGTGCAAGGAAGCAAGGCAAACAGTTAAACTCCAGGCAAAACTGTCTTTGCACATGTACACGTTTGCCGAGGCTGGCTGGAACTGATGGAGATTCAGCTGATACCTCTGAGCATCTCTCAGCAGAGCTGTGCCACCTGCTGGTGTACTCGTGTGCAGAGAGGAATAGGACAGAGAGCAAACAATTGTCAAGCAATTCTGCCCCGGAAAGTACTATCAGTATGTTGGGTGATAAACAAATAAGAAACATCTTTTAACACCATTGATGAGAAAGACTTGCTGGGAGCAGAGGAGTAGAAAACAGGAGGTGTTATGCTTGTAGATAGGACCAGCCTTCTCCTTGAGATATGCCTGGTGTATTGCAAAAGCAGTGTGCTCAGTATTCAAGTAGCAGCACTAGTTACCCATGTTATTCCACTGCTTCTGGGTAATTTTAGAATCGTGGCATTTTCAAGCCTTGTTTGTGGTATTTGTAACATCTGAATTTAAGGAAATGGTTCTCCTCAGTGCTGAGATCTAAGAAAACTTCAAGAGGTTTGGGGGTTTTGTTAAACAAACCTCTTTGTGATATGGGTGATGCTTCTAAATGGATTTTGCAATAAGTTATCCAGGCTGATTTTCAAATCTGACTTAAAGGTTGTAAATGCCAGGAACTCTATGTTTACTTCCCACTTCATCTTTCAGTAGGGAGGGGTTGGACAAGATGACCTTGATCATTGCAACCTGAATTGTTGTATGAAATCTCAAAAGTACTGAAAGAGGCCATGTAGCACATCAGCTTAGGAAGAGGAAAACAAAGAGAGAAAAATTGAATTGTCTTTTATTTCCTTGGCATAAGTATTTTTGTATCTGTGATTCACACTGAACTATTGGCTTAACCAAAAGGTAGTATCAGTTGCAGTCCCAAATTGACATACTTGAATCTATGTCCAATCAAGCCTGATACACTCCGGAAATGTTATTAGGCTTTTTTCAGGAGTGCAGGGCAAGGGGTGCCACTTTATGAATTTATATGTGTGTTGCATGATGTACATTACTAAAAAAAAATAAATTCTGCTCTCAGGTGCCTTTTTCACTGGCAGCAGCACAGAAGTTACTTCCCTTAGTACTGGGCAAATACTGTTGAAATTAGTGTTCTTGTGTGGGTATGAAATTAATGTGATGTGTGAACAGTATTATGAGCATATAAGAAAACATTTTCTGTTCTGTCCTGCAGGGCTGTCCTTGAAGATGATCCATACAGTCGAATGAAGCAAGTGTTGAGGTGGTACCTGTCTGGATTCTACAAGAAGCCAAAGGTAAAAGAATGCATGAAGTGAGGGTTGTAATGGGCACTGAAATCTTCTGCTATGATTTTGTATCTCATTATTGCATTTCCTGTGACACTTTTCTATTTCACTTTTCTATTGTTCAGAAGACTTTGGACATTACTTTTAAAACTGAAGTAGCATTTGGTTTCAGAGTAGACAGGGAGTGAAAAATAGTCCTGACCATGTCAAAGCTTTTGCACTGGACATATACAAGCAAAACTAGTCATCAATAAGTAATATCTCGTCAATATGTATCATGCCCTCAGATTCAAGATTTTTCCCTTGGCTGAAAGCAGGTCTCCTTTCTCTTTTCAAGCCTATTGGTACCATAGTGCTGTGTTTCCACACCAGTATGTACCTGCTGTATATAGTTGCAGGAATAATAAGGTTTTATCATCTTTAAAAGCCTTGATCAGACAGAAGATTAAGTTGGCAAGAGTAGAAGGTGAATCCATGGCTCAAATGAAGAGTTTAAATTTGGAGAATACATGTAACCAGTTCTTTGGGTTTAATTACTGTGATTGACTTAGTTTAAAACAACAGGGAGAAAACTATGTTGTTTTGTGGCCACTTCTGTGAAGTCGGATTGCAAGTCTTTGTTTATAGCAGTTTTTGATTGTTTTGCTTTTCAGGGAATAAAAAAGCCATACAACCCTATTCTGGGAGAGACGTTTCGCTGCTGTTGGTTTCACCCTCAGACAAACAGTCACACATTTTACATAGCAGAGCAGGTAAGCTGCTTTATTTAGATGCTTAGGGGTTGCAATCAGCAGCCTGCTTGCACCTCTGTGCATTGGAACACACTCTGCATCTCCCCCTGGGAGAGGAAGTTGGGAGTTTTGTGTAAATATCCAGAGTGGGACATGGGGTAAACTAACCGCTGATCTTTTTTCTCTTGAGATTTATGAAGATTACTGTGAGCTTTGGCAGGCCCTCAAGACTATAAAAGTGTGTCTCCTATAACATTAGCCTCTTCAATGAAGACCATTTCCGTGGGGTTCTGCCCTACTGCTTTCTTCTTGTTAATAAAACATTGTTGTGATTTGTGTTGCCTCTGTCAAAAGGAATAGAAACACATAACCAAGTCCTACCTTCCTTTATTTCTAAACTTAATGCAAATATTTTGATAGGAGTAAAATGAGAGCTTATCTCTATGTCTTTGGGGGTAAATGAAAGGCAGAGCTCACAAGTAAGCTGGTCTGACAAAATTTATTTTGAGATTTACATTATTCATAAAGGGATCTGGGGACCATGTGGACTTTGGTACAAGGACTCCCTGTTTCACATACATACATTTATCCTATTTAATAAAAAAGTTTTAATTTAGTTCTGTTCTATTTCAGCCACTCTGTCCATTTTATTGAGATTATTCAGATCCTGCCAAAAAGTTCTGCACTGTCATTTATTCTGTTGACAGTCTGACAGTGTACCTGTTGACCTAAAGTGATTTCAAATGCATAAGGACAAGAAAATACGAGGCGGGGCAGAAAGTGTACATACATAGTGTTGTCATGTACAGTGGTCTTGCAAATAATGTTCCCTCCTTTAACACTGAGGTTAATGCTATGGATGAGGCCTAGAGGACTCTGCTTAGTCCTGTGGCCTTTGTCTTGCACTTGCCTCCAGCACAGGTCACACCCTGTGAGGCTGTGCACACACCCTCTGCTCTGCTTAGCCTGTAACGACTGCTGTAAGTGACCTGTGCCTGCTTTTCTCCTAGGTCTCCCATCATCCGCCAGTGTCAGCTTTTCATGTCAGCAACAGGAAGGATGGATTCTGCATTACTGGCAGCATTCTAGCTAGGTCCAAGTTTTATGGTAAGGCACTAAGCCTAGGCATCTCCCAGGTAGCATCGTGCCACTGATTTTGTTTTCTTTTTCAATCACACCTGTGTGGGTTGAGAGTTAAGAACAAAGAAAGGCCTGAGAGATTTGCCACTAGGACACCCTTATTCCTTGTCTTGGCCCTACTGGGTTTTCCCCATTTCCACCATTTCAGTAGGAGATTGCACTGATATTAAAAAAAAAAAAAATCAGATGGAAAAACTGAGAGCTTTAAAAGGCTGTTTTACAGAAAGCAAAGGTCCATGGAAATGTATGGGCAATTGTATATGCTTACAAGTGAAGCATTTTATAAGCCATCTGATCATCCAGCTGACTATTGCAGTCTCTGTATTAATGTCACCATTTATCTTGCTCCTAGATTTCTGAGGCTTGACCCCTAGAGCTCCAAAATGTCCTCAGATCTTTCAGTGGCAATGGAAACAGCACAACTACAGGCTCTGAAACAGTGTTGCTATTTGAAATGAGGTTTTTGTGCAGACAAACACTGCTTAGGTGCTATCCTCTGGTATTTGTATTTGTATTTGCTGAAAACACTTGTAAGTAGTCATTGCTGTCCTTCTGGCAATTCTAATTGTTATTTCGGATCACACACATGAGAAGAGTTGTGAGAACAGAAGGACCTGAAAAACTTCTAAGCATTGGAACTCCTTTCTGCATCCCACTAATGACTGACTTAATTAATTGCCCTTTCTGCAACAGTTTCACCATTTTAGTAGGAGGATGCACCGATAATAAAAAAAAAAAAAAAAATCAGATGGAAAAAATGAGAGCTTTAAAAGGCTGTTTTACAGAAAGCAAAGGTCCATGGAAATGTATGGGCAATTGTATATGCTTACAAGTGAAGCATTTTATAAGCCATCTGATCATCCAGCTGACTATTGCAGTCTCTGTATTAATGTCACCATTTATCTTGCTCCTAGATTTCTGAGGCTTGACCCCTAGAGCTCCAAAATGTCCTCAGATCTTTCAGTGGCAATGGAAACAGCACAACTACAGGCTCTGAAACAGTGTTGCTATTTGAAATGAGGTTTTTGTGCAGACAAACACTGCTTAGGTGCTATCCTCTGGTATTTGTATTTGTATTTGCTGAAAACACTTGTAAGTAGTCATTGCTGTCCTTCTGGCAATTCTAATTGTTATTTCGGATCACACACATGAGAAGAGTTGTGAGAACAGAAGGACCTGAAAAACTTCTAAGCATTGGAACTCCTTTCTGCATCCCACTAATGACTGACTTAATTAATTGCCCTTTCTGCAACAGGGCCTAAATGTCAGCACAAGTATGAGCCATACAGCAGATTAGAACTGCCCATCCACAACACTAAATGACTTGCAGGGTCCTGAATTATCAGGATTTTATATTTCTGTTAGTGAACTACATTAAATGGAAATGTTTTTCTAAAGCATGATGAGTGACCAAGTGTGACATGAATTTTTTAATATATATGTTATGGTTCTTTTAAATTCTAGGTAACTCACTTTCTGCACTTTTGGATGGGAAAGCAAAGCTTATGTTTCTAAGCAGAGGGGAAGATTACATCATTACTATGCCATATGCCCACTGTAAAGGTAAGCTACGACTGTTCAAATAGGAAGCAAACAGCAAGAAGCAATATAGTGGTATCTTACTAACTTTGTACTGGCTCTCTTCTCCCCTCTCAAATGCCTGATACCACAGGGACTGCTAATTCCAGAGACCAGTTGCTCCACATGTGAGCCACAGTGCTCAGCAGAAGATTGGTAATCCTCACTGACATATTTTGATTTGCCTGGCAGCACTGGGGACAAAAAGAGGCCCATCTAAGTTAGTTTTAACACTGTGTAGAAACAAAATAAATACTACATGTATGCACTGCAGATAGAGTGAAGATGGAAAGAATGAGTACATTTCAGAACTTCTGAGGATAAAAAATGTTTCTAATGTTACCACTGGAATTGTCTAATTTCTGGTATTTTTGAGAATAAAGAAAAATCCTGACTCCTCTTCCAGTTTCTTTGTAACTCTAACAATGATATTTCTTAGTGTATGAGCTGCCTCACACATAGGCTGATATCTCTTACCAGGTGCAAGTACAAAATTGGCTTTGCTCTGTTGAGCTGGATATGCACTGACACCAGAGGGTGGCAGCTGATTCACTGCTGTAACTTTGCATTTCTCCTGTCCTAGCTAAGGTGAATGTCGGTGGCATTTCAACCACAGTGATAAATCACTGCTGTAGTAGTTTGATACAATTCTGCTTTTTGCATATTTTTATTTCAGCATGCTGACCTGTAAAGTTAGTATTGATGGAGGGTTTAGCTACCTGAAAATAGTAACTTTTGTACATCATGGCCTCTGTGAACTATTCTTGTGCATAAATCTTTCTATTGTCAGTGTTTCTTTTTCTGCAAATTATCTTGTCAGCAAACAGTAAGCATGTGTAAAAGGGTGTCCCCTATAGGACTGCCAGTCTCCCAGATTCTGCTGAAGCCTCTTACAGCTCCTCTCTGCCCCATCTACTCTATGAGACTCAGTCTGTTTAAGCACTAGTATGATTTTTCCTTTGCCATTTTCAGCATGCCACGGATGCATTATCAGCACCAGCTGTTTCCCCGCTAGTGTTATATAGAATGTGGACTCGGGGGAGGATTCTTCAAGATTATAAAAGAGCCATTTCTTAGGAACTTTGGTTTCTGTGTTTTGATAGAAAGACTTCCTGTCCTGTCTTCTTGAAACTTGAAGCCAAGTTGTGAATTTCATATTGTTAGTGAGAGCCAGTTTGAGTTGCGTAAGAAGACTGCTTCCATCAGGGCCTCTCTTCATTATATTTTCAGGACTTTTATATGGTACCATGACAATGGAGCTTGGAGGGAAAGTTACCATTGACTGTGAGAAAACTAACCACAGGGCGGAACTGGAATTCAAGCTAAAGGTAAGAGACGTTATGGACCCCATTTTGAATGGGTCTCAGGCTTGCCCCTGTGCTCCATGCGAGGTTTGACCATACACACTAGATCATTTATGTACTATTAATGTATGCATCCACCACGGGGTGGCCTACTCAGAGAGGTGGCATCATCCTGAAGTCAGTTTTGCCTTGTGCAACTCACCCAGGAAGCCTGAGTTTTACAGATGACTTGTTCACTGCCAGCCAGCTGGCTACTGGCTCCATTCTGAATGTCGTGCAATGACAGTGTGGCTTCTGTTTGGCAAGGTACAATTGTTTTTGCTTGCAAAATAAGTCAAGGTGTACAAACTACTTCAAAGCAAGTTAGGATGTGGATGTTCAGTGTAGCTCTCCAGCATCCACCTCATATGTACTCCTACCTTGCAGGTATTACAATCAACTGTACCTTGTGTTTCTCAAGGGCTACAGAACCTTGCCTTGTTGGCAGAATAAGAGCCCTTTTTCAGGCAGGTGATTTTGAGTGGCTATCACACTGATGAGCTGCACTGTCATTGCCTTGAACTGACGTGTTCATGTAGCAGTCCCCTCCCCTACAAAGCCTGGTGTTGCAAATTTATGGTATGCAGTTAAAAAGGAGACATTGTTGTAGTTATGTATGTTAAAATTTGAGAGGGAAAGTGATGACTTGTAACTTTCCATGGACAGTTAACTTACTTTATAAGGAGCATCCATTTCTATTCTGTTCCAACAATTTCTTGCCTGGCCATAAAATGAAGGATGGAGGGAGAACTGAGAGCCTGCAGGATTTTAGCATTGTAGCCATAGCCACCATGGATGTGAGAGTTTACTGGAGTTAGGGGAGTCTTTTCCAAACAGTGTTTTTCGGGGGCAGTAATAATTTTCTGTCCTTATTTGCCCTTACAAAGTGAATTATTGCCCTGTGTATTTCCTTCACATGTGCATACACTTATCTTTAAAGCCTGTTCTTCCCGTAGGCTTCATGTACCATGTTGAGGCAGTGGAGTATTTCCCTTGCTTCAGCCAGTGTCATCTCAAACTTGTAAATACTCCAATGCAAACCCTTCTTTTCTGGCTTGAAAACAATACACTTTGTCCAAACATGACTCACAAAAGTTCCTGTAGCTTAATTACATGCTCTACTTTTAAGATTTTCAAGCCAACTTTTTTAGAATTGTGAGAAGCTAAAGGTAAACCCCATTATTTGGTTATTATTTTGGATATATAGCAGTTCTCTGCTGGATTGTGTGTACTGATTCTTGAGGTGCTTGTGATTTTCTTTTTCTGTGGGTGTTGAGGGACATTTGGGTTTATACTGTTATTTTTTTAAGAAAAAAAAGTTCTTCTGCACAAATGAAATTGGAAACTTTTGTTGTGTGCTGCCAAAACTTCTGAAGAAATGTTGTGTGGTCTGAATGGAAGAGCTGGTCACTCTGTCACTGCCATTTCCTGTATTTGGCAGGCAGAAGGTGAGGGGAATTTTCCATTGTTCTGAGAATCTTTTCCTTGACTCTGGAAATTCCCTTTTTCTTTTTTGCTTGTTGCTGAGGAGAGCTTCTTCACACTGGAGACTTGACACAGATGCAGCCATCAGCAGTGCCCCACTGCTTTTGCTGTCCTGTAAGCAGGGAAAGTCACCAACTGCATTAGTGCTGCTCCTTTGCTTTGGACAAGGCTGCAAGTATTAGGGTGCAAATTGTAATGCAGTTCTAGACAATGGGGACGACTTGCCTCCATACACTTATCCTGATGTCTAGCTGACAATAAATGTATTTGCAAGAAAGGCAAGGCTGAATGTTAATGCACCTGAAGGCTTATCTCCCTTCCTGCAGTGATTTTGGTGTTGCAAACAGAAGGAAGAGGGCACAATGCTACACAGCCAAAATCGGTTAGAATTCATTTTGCCTTTCCCAGAAATAGTGAAAACCAAGCAAGTTGTGCTTTCCTTCCCTCCTGCTGCATCACTGTGTTTGGCTCCTTTCCAGCTCTCACTAGACTGATCATATTTTCTATTTCTGTTCTCCCTTGACAGCCCTTCTTCGGCAGCAACGCAAGCATTAATCAAATCTCTGGGAAGATTAAACTGGGAGAAGAAGTGTTGGCGAGTCTCGATGGACACTGGGTAACATATGATAATTGAAGTTCCTGACAGTTTAAGTGTGTGTGGCAGCAGGGTTTGTGCGAGGGCTGGCAGCCCTTGGTAGGCTTGGAGTGGGGGCTGTGGTGGACCATGTCCTGCTTATTCCTGCCATCCCTGGGTAGTGCAGGCAAGCAGAGCTTTCAAGGCCACACCTCTCAAGGTCATTGCTTCTGTAGCTGCCTGCAGTACAAGTAACACTTGCACTCCCAGAACCTGGCACAAAGCTGGGAACAGGGAGGAAGCCAGTGGCTCTGTATTTAGGGGTCCCAGGCCTAGGACACACACTGAATGCAGGAGACATAGTGTGTCTTGTGTGTGATTATGAAGATCATGAGGCTTCCTTTTGTCTTGATGTGTTCACTGCTTTCCCATCCACAACAGTGTCAGGGAAGAACTTCACAAAGTTTTAGATTCATTATTTTCACAGCAAACTTTTATGATAGAAGATGATTATTCCTCTGCTCATGAGATGAAGGACCGAGACATAGATTTTGTGAGGGTCTATCTGTATGGGCAGCTTAGAACAATCAGCAGAGCAGCTATCACCAATGAAGGACCGAGACATAGATTTTGTGACTGTCTATCTGTATAGAACTTAGAGCTTAGAACAATCAGCAGAGCAGCTATCACCTTTGCATACCCAGCTTTCATAAGTCATTCAGTCAACGGCATCCTTAAGCCAAAATCCAGCAAGAATAAAGTTGCATGTAGTCTAGAGGTTTGACTGGAAACTCCTGGTAACTGAGGCAAATGCAGTGAGCCCTGGCTTTGGGCTGGACACTTAGGTGTTTATCTCAACTACATTTAGACATCTACATCTGCATTATAGCTGACCTATACTCCCTTTGCAGTCCATAGTAGCTGTCTTTTCTGAGACAAGATTTGTCTAATCCTAGAGAAGATATTTAAACTAGATCAGGTGAAATGTGCCTAGATAAAGCTATTTCTATAGTAAGGTCCTAACCACAGTGTAGTCTTCAGTACTGGACTTCTCCCCTTAGGCAATCTTGTCTTTTTACGTTAAAAGCCAATGACCATTTTGAAATTGGGACTTTTGCCCTTTCTGGGTGTATACAAGGTGATTTGCTCCCTGTGCCTGGGTAGCTTTTCTGTTCTGAGCTCCCTTTCCTGCAGGTTGAGCCTTGGCAATTGGAGTTATGCTGATCTGTGGAGTACCTTGTCTGCAGTGGGTCCTGAGAACACCCTCCATGAAAGTGTGTCCTCGAGTGGCTCCCCTGGGGTGCTGAGCTACATGGTTGTGTGCTGCTCAACTTCCAGCCTTCTGTGTTGGAGTTGTTACCAGCCTGAAAATAATTTATTCCTCCCTTGCTCTTTGTGCTGGTTATTTGTGGTGCACAAAATTAGAATGATGGATAAAAGAAGTTAAATGGCTTTGAAAGGGTGGCTCCATCAGTTGTCATTTGGAGTTGCATGCTGTGAATACAGTAGCTACTGTGCAGGCAGGGACTTCGTTTGTTCTGCCTCCCCACTGGGATATTGACCTGCTGTCCTGAGCTCTGCAGGCTCTTCTCTGGCACCATCCAGTTTTCTGACAGAAAGCCTTGCAGCTGGAAAGGTAATTCTCTGCCTGAGGACCTGAAAACCCACCTGAATAAAGAAGGAAAGCAAATCTCAAGGCTTCTCAGTGCCAGGATCACAGCAGCAGCAGAGGGCTTGCATATATGCCCCTTGGAGATCCACGTAGGGATGTCTGGCAGTGCCTGCCTCCTCCTAGCCACAGCGGGGAGGCTTTTGGACACCTGAGATCTCTCCTGGAGCTGGCACCTCAGGAGATGGCAGAGGAAGTCCTGAGGTGTACTTTGAGGAGGCATGAGAGTCCCTCAGGGTTGAAGGAGTTTCACAGCTGAAGATGTGGGAAATCGACTTTGAGACATGCATCAAGGGACCATGGCAGGGCAAGAAATGCAGCAGCTAGGATGCAAAGAAATTAGGCAGCAGCAGACAAAGCCAGTAATCATGACCTAAATAAGGTTTGCTTGATACTCATATCATGTCCAGGCAGCTGAATGGCACCAGTGCACATGCTGTTCAGTAGCTGCAATCATCTGATTCATTCCACTTGCAGTCAGTGTCGTGCTGTTCACTATATGCTCTGTCAACTGCCCCTTCTGGCTCCGTGGGCACTGCTGTGTCTGTGAGCAAGGCTGGCAAGCAGCTTCCTTAAGCAGGGATGCAGCAATATTGTCTAGCCAGGCTCAGATCAGAGAAGTGCTGCTTAATAGTTAGCTTAATAGTGCTGCCAAGTAAATTTGCATGGAATAAAGATGAACACTCCTGGTATTCTGAAGTGCTAAATTAAAATGAGGAGCAGTAATAGACAAACTTGGCTAAACTGACCAAAAAAATGTCTAAGAGTATCTCAGCTTCAGCTCCTCTTTGTAGAGAGAATGATATTTCATTTAACTCTGCATGAGATTTCAGCAGTGAGGAATAGAATAAAAAATGGAAAAGGAATTAGGGATCTTGTTTACATTTGCTGAGTGCACCTGGGAGGAACAGTGTGGAAGCAGCATCTTAGGGCTTCTGTGGGTACCCTTGTCTGGTGACAAGACTAACAAAACGGACTAGGTCCCTTTCTAATTCTCTGATTAATTCAGCCAGTGTTTCAGGGAATGCCTCACTGTATTCATTTTAGAAACTTTCAGGAAGTGTTCAGTGAGATTTAATGGGATAGAGGAGGAAAGAAGCCTTCTAACTAAGTCCTATCCCTGATCATCATCCGGAAGCAGCTTCCATTAGTCAGGGTTATTTTCTGCCTTGTGTTTCTGATTGCCATTAACCTTTTCACTTGATTTTCCTTCTCAGGATGGGGAAGTACATATAAATGAATTGAAAAATGGGAATGTGGAAATATTCTGGAACCCAACCAGTGAAGTACGAAGGCAGAGACTGAAGCGCCATATTGTGCTATTTGAGGAGCAGACAGACTTTGAGTCAGAGAGGTAAGGAGCTCTGGGAACATCTTGCTGCTGCTTCCCTGCTCAAAGTGGAGCTCTGATCAGAAGGCTCAGATTCTTCAGCACAGCCTTGGAAAAGCAGCAACTTGCTTTGCCTGCACTTATTACCCAAGCATTTACCTGCTTTTTTTCCGGTCCATTAACTCTGGAGCATTTCCATGAAGTATAGCTCTGAAATCACCAGGGAGCTGGGGTGAGAAATGGCGGAGGCTACATTTTGTCTGCTAAAACAACAACTGTCCCTGGGCTCCAGAGATCATGAACAGAATCGTAGGAACATTTTATGGAAAGGCAAGAAGCCAAATCTGAGGTCAGATGTCTTGTTAAGAAGAGTTGTTGCAACCACAGGCTCTTAAACTAGATGCAAGAATCATGTGGGAAGTCCTGGCATGAGCAGAGTAGTAGTTTGAACCACATAAGAGGATTTTATGAGAGGACGTAATTAAACAGATGTTTAGCCCTGCCTCATAATCTCAGCTGAGATCTCCAGTGAAGTCCACACTGGGATTTTTTTAGGGTAATCCAGATTACCTAAAAATATAGTCCTGGCACATGACTTAGAACACTGGAGGAATGACTGCCTGATGGAATGAGCATCCCTGAGCCAATTTTTAAGCAAGAGGAGCTCAAGCAACATTGTGTCGCGCTGGCTTCAAACCAACTAGTCCTGTCATCTCACCAGGACGGTTAGCCAGTACCAGCCAACATCCCAAACCAGTCCATGCAGTTGGCCACTTCCCTGTGGGCGTTGAATTTTGATGTTGCATCACACTAAGAAGGTTCTCCTTTTTATGGGTAAAGAAAGGGGTTGTATGAAAAAAACCCAAACACATGAACACTTAGTTTGCTCTGGACAGCAGTGGGCGTTACGGGCAGTAAAGTCTGGTTTTGTAATTCACAGTTGTGCAATTGCTGTTGTCACAGAGCAGAGCACATTTCTCTATTAATCCTCTGAAGAAGATTTTTTAAAGGCAAAATCTCAGTCTTGCAAAGAATCTCCATGTCTTTGTTTACCAGGGTACTGCCAGAGCTGCCCTTTGCTACATCAAAGATCAATAATGATACATGCATCCAGGGGAAGGAGGCAAAAGGAGAAATTCTGGAGATCCCTAACAGACATTCACCCGAGCTCCTTATTATGCTGACAGTTGCATGAATATATTACCATCTAATCCAGTTTATGTTATGTCTGAATTGCCTCATTTCCTGCAGTGCTGAAATCACCTATTTTCAAAAATGCTGGAGAGTCCATGAAGCTCCTGCTATTATGCAGCTCACCATGGAGGGTCTTGTTGTCTGACACGTGCAGCTCTTGATGGAGTAATTTGCCCTTGTCAAGCAATTTTGCCCATGTGTCTCTCAGGTTCTTAGAATTAGAGGACTCACTGTTCACACCACTGTATTCCTTAGGGCTGACTCTATACACCACCACAGTATTTTTTAGGCTGTTGTTCTCAGTTCTCCCTCCCCCACCCCCATCACTTTGAGTTTGAATTGAGTTTCCTTCCTTTGTTTTCTGGGAGAAAATATCCGTACACCGGAAAATGGGAGCGACATGAAAAAAAGGACAGGAAAGTGTCCTCTGCCATCTAAGAGGCTGCTTTTTTACAAGTATTGTATTAATGCATGGTGATTGAAATATGATTAAAGCATCAGTATCCCTTTTAAATTGAGAGCTTCCCAGCAAAGTCCAAATTAAATGCAGGAATGTAATCTTCTGGAAGACTGGTGTTTTGTGGAGCTGGGACTAGTGGAACAGTCTGGATCTCCAGTGCCTATTCTAACCACTAAACCACCCCATCATGTTTTGGGAGGCCTAGTTCCTAATCTCAGAAGCATTTCCAACCTGAAATGAAGATTAGAGTCCTCTGATTAGAGGAACTGTGGAGAGGCCTATCTTAGCTTGGCTATATTAAAAAAAAAAGGAATGATTTTTTTTCCTCTCCTCCAGGCAGAGGCTCAGTGAGAGGTCATATGACAGATCACGTATCTTTTGGCAGCTGAAAACAAGTGTGAGTGAAAGCCTGTGTTCATGCTTGCAGTTTGTGATCACAAGTACCTGTCTGTTTCTTGCATATTGAATCAGCTTCCTACAGATCTGGCTGTTACTCCTATGTGGAAGTACAACATTGCATATACAGCTGCAAGCCTTGCACATTAATTCACTTTCCAGTGCTTCTCAACTTTAAATACAAAGCCTTTGTTTCAGGGATAGACATTAACACAAAGGCTGCTAAATAGAAATGACTGAAAAGGCAAAGAAGATAACAGATTCTCCATTATACATCAGTCACCTCTAAAGAGGCCACTGACCTCAATGAATTGAGCATAACTATCTTGTAACTCACACGGACCACACTGACAATTATAATGAACGTTGTAGGTGATGTTATCTAAGGGAACATTCCCCTGTTCTACAGTAAATCATTGTATACAGCATTCAGTGTTGCCATTCTCACACTGTTCCTTTAATTTATGAGCCAAAAATGAGGCTGAGCCATCTTGTTGCAGTTCCTCTGGAGTATCAACAGACCAGAAAAGTGTCTGCTCTAAGGTTCCAGCTGGCAAAATGCACTGTTGGTTTTCAGGTGGTTTAACTTGCTTCGCTGTTTGTTTTTAGGCTCTGGCAGCATGTTACCAGTGCAATAAACAAAGGTGATCAACACAAGGCAACACAGGAAAAATTTGTTCTGGAAGAGGAGCAGAGAAATGCTGCCCGGGAGCGGAGAGAGAACGGCACAGAATGGAAACCCCTGCTCTTCCAGCATGATGCCACGACGAACGAGTGGCGCTACAAATACGAGGAGTGAGTGGGGCGGTGGGGTTAGGAACAGACCTAACTGCTTGGGTCCCCAGCAACACAAGCAAGGTTGCAGACCTGTAATTTGGGTCCTGCCATTCCCCAGACTATGCCCTGGGCTTGCTCTTTTTGAGCTCCATGTCATTATTAGAATGCATATTCCTGATACTAATTGGGAATAGCTGGAAATGAGGGCTTAGCAATGTAAAATCTGCTGTGCCATTGGTACAAATCTCTATTTGCTGCAACTGAGTGTGGAATCACTTAGCAGAGATTTTCTGCAGCGTGCAAGAAAAGTTGACAACCCTGCTGTCCACTCTTGGCAAGAAGGGTAAAGCTCCTGGAGACTTAAATCCACTCATTTATTGAGAGAGAAGTATCTGTTACTCCTCATACTGCATCTGTGGAAACTGATTACTGCCTGCCCAAATGCATAAGGAATTAATGTATTGCTCTTAACACACCTGGTGTGGGATTCCTACTTTTCTGATGTTTTTTCCTTTGGTCTCAAAAGTTTAAGACCTTGGGATCCTTTGAATGACATTGCCCAATTTGAGAAGAATGGGATACTTCAGACCATGGAACAACACTTATCCACAAGGATGTCAAACCACAAGACAACATGCATCAACAATCAAATTACACGGCACAAGGTAAAAAGCCTCTTTTGAGGAATAGAATATTCTTTATGATTGTTTAGATATTCAGCCCTTTCCTGCAGCATTTTCATGTAAGCACAGCATAGACTGAAAGATTTGGTTTGGAGTAAATACAGTGCATTACCCTAGACCTGCAATATTATACCATTGTTAACTCCAAATAATTATGATTCTCGGTTGACATATCCTATCCATTTTGACATTTGTCTTTCAGTGTTGGTGACAATGACTCTTGTACTTGGGTTTTGCACGTGGCTGAGCTGAACTTCATTGTGTGGTGTTTCCAAAGCAGAAAACTTCCCATAGTGAGGGTGTGAGAAAGGTTTTGGAGTGCACAAATGAGATACTGCAACTTCAGTTTCAGTCTTTGCCATCTGCCTTTATCACTTCCTCTTAGACAAGACAAAAAGCTCTCTCCGTCCTTTAAACAGGGATGATACATTCTCATTTAATTTCATTAATCTTTGGAGTAATATATGCTTTGTAAATGTAGAACTGCTGAACTAGCTAGATATAACCTTTATTGCACTGAGGAACTTGTATCTTAATATGAACACAGACTTTTGTTTTATAATACCTCTAATCTGAGTGTCTCTGAACCTATGGAAGAGTTGAGGGTTTGTACCTGCTTTTTGGACCCTCCAGTGAGAAGTGTTTGAATCAATGGGTTTGGTTTGCCCATTCAGGAAGCAGGGAGAAACTTTCAAAGTGCATCTAGAAATTACATATAAATGTTCTGTGATGTTTAAATTTTTCAGGCCCCTTCTGAAAAATCTTCCTCAGGAAATTTTCTTCTAAATTGTTCTTCTTTTCATCCATTCTCTTATATAGCTAGTTGGTGGCTATGCAACTCAGCAAAATAACTATAAAATTCATCACTAGTATGTGTCACTTAAAGCTACAACAAGAATAATTTGCATGATGTCTTATGGGTGTTATCATTTGAGGAAATGCTGCTGTACAAGGCATGTGCGTAATATCCTGAAGTAGCTGCCAGGAGTGCAACTCCTAGGAGTTGCTGAGAAAGCAAGCAAACCTTGCCATCTCACAGATATTCCCCAGCACCCTGGATTATTTTGTTTGAAGCCAAACACAAAAGTCTTCAATTTGACAATGACCGAGTTTCTGTTGACCCTGCTTTTGCTCAGAGGTCTGCCAAGGACTGCAGGCGCCGCAAGGCCAGTGATCAGCCATCCAACCACAGTCAGAACACAGAGAGCAGCTGTTCCACGCCTGAGTCGATGCAGGGGCTCTCAGATGATGATGGCAAGTATTTGGGTATCCCTGGGTCAGGCTTTAATATTCTTCCCTCAGTACCTGATCACTTGAGGCAGCCCTAGTTAATACCATGGGCCCATAGCCCACAGGAAAACACAGAGAATGTTCTGCATTTCTATTCTCTGTACATCCTTCTGCTTCTCTTTCTGCCTTACACTGTCCTTGCCAACAAGGACTTCCTAATACCTGGCACAAACATGTTGGAAAAAAGCCACTAACATTCTGGCCAACGGGTACAAAACAGGCATAATTTCTCAGTCACTTTTCTCAGCTTTTGTTGGAGGTGACCTGGAAGGTTTCAGAGATGGAAGCAGGTGTAAGCACTCCATTCATCTTCCCTCAGCGGGGGAGAATGCAGCAAGAATTGTTTCCTGAGGGCCAAGAAGAGTGCCCCGACCAGTGTTGCAGGACCCATTCCATTGATTTGTGCCCTTGGAGTGGAGACACTGTGTCCTGTCTCCTTCTCCCCATGTTTCCTCCTGAGAGTGTCTCCCTGACTGTGACAGTTTGGTTACAACCAGCCACTTGATGGGTGAACCTGGTTTGTGTTTCATCACCACCACCAGAGATGGAGATGCAAAACATAATGTCCTTCAATGCTTTGCTGCAGGGTTTGAAAGTCTGTGTGCTCAGTGTGGGAAAGAAATGAATCACCTGAAGGAAATTCATTCAGCCGTCTTATCCCTACAGAGAGCCCAACAGGACATACACAGGTAACCGTTTTCTCTCAACAGATAAATGATCTTAAGGGCTAAAAATAACCTGTGGCATTTAATTCCTCCACTGTGGCCTTTGGAGCCTCCTTATCAGCTGCAGGGGTGAAATTAACAACTGTTTCAATAGGTAACCTATTAACACACCAGAAAGGCAAAGCCACCCCCTACCTGAAACAGTGAGAAAATATCTTCCTCTTAAGATTCCTTATAGGGTAGAAAATGTCACCTCAGCACCATAAGCATTTCTTTGCACTCCCACTGCAAAACAGCTGTAGAAGTTGGAAGGGGCTGGGCCAGGCCCTGGCTATAAATAAATTTCTGCTAGGCAAGAAGTTGTGGGGTCTCTCTCCTTATCAAGTATGTTATGAGTTTGCTGTTTGCTGCAGAGATGTATTTGGGAAAGTTAGGACATAGGTTTATGACTGGGTGCTGGATGAAGGGATTTCTTGGGGTTTGTGCCCTTACACCTCATGCTAACCAGCATGCTCTGATCCAGCAGCAGCTGAAAGCCCTTATCTTTCTGTTAAAAGAGAGGAGGTGAAGTCTGCAGAGCACAGGGCTATCTCTGAAGTACAGGGATCTCTTTCAGTGTGGAAGCTCTGAGTATGTGCAGGTGTGAATGCACACCTCCCTCTGCCACACCAATAAACAGCTGCTTTCTTTTCCAGAAACCTCAGTGCTCTGAACAAAAAGTCCTTCCACAGGAAGGTCTCTTCTGAAAACTTCCTCCTGGACTCTCGCTTTTGGTTTCTCCTCTTCATCTTTCTGACGTGTCAACTATTCATCAATTATGTCTTCAAATAAAATCACTACGTTTGGCAGCAATAACTATTACTGGCTGCAGGAGGGGGGCCACTCATGCAAGGAGCCCAGCGAGGCACCAAAGCACTTTAGAACCAATGCGGCAGAGGTGGAAGAAGTTGGAGAACAAGGTTAAAAAGGGACCTAGGAACCTGCAAAACTTCATTCCTGCAGACTATGTCATTTTTGCCTTTTACATGTACATCTTCAAGGACCTCTTAACCTGTATGGGCCTTAATGCTGAAGCCAAATGTAGCTTTAATTGTGCAATTTTATTTCTATGTCATGTCATTTTCTGATGCAATTAATAACTACCCATCAGTATCGGTACCCACAAAATGGTAAACACCCCAGCATTTTGGAAAGGTTATTCCAGCCTGGTTCACAGTTCTACAAGTGAGGGAGTGCAGCTGAGGAGCTGTAAAGAGCTGATGTCCATGGTGTCTGGCTGGTTGCATTCAATTATGGGAGGGAGAACACTTGGTCCAAAAAATCCACCACCAGAATAAGGATGTTAAGTCATAATCTGTTTTGTCAGCACACACAGAATGAGACCTCAGGATGTGTTTTATTTTCCATTCCACGAGAACTGTAAATATGCACAATTTCCTAGAGCCATTCTTCTTTAGGAAATGGGAAGTATTCCCATGAGTCCTGGACTGGGCCCACCGAATATCATGTCAGATGTGCCTGTCCATAAAATCTGGTCACTTACTATGTTAGTTTTTATTTGCTGTATGGCTGTTTTATAATCTCACACACTAGCATTGTAGAGAGGAACCCACTGCCCCAGGACAGGTGAGACAGACAGGAGCAATACAGGTGTACGTGTGTTTGCTCGTAGGTACATTTATTGTGGAAGGAGGAAGGGTTTTGCCACTGCATTGTTCAACACTCTTAGTAGTCTTCCTATTTTACACCATTTTTTAAAGATTTGCAATATTTTCTGTAGACTGCGGACAATACTAAGCCTTTCTTTTCTGGCCTGAAGTAGTTCCAAGTGGTAAGTACTGCTATATATACAGCCTTAAAATACTTAGTGGTGGTGCCAGTCTGGGCTATCGTTCAATGTAAATGTTTCCAAATTTTTAAGTACATTCCTCATCATATTCCCCAGTTAGGGGAAACCTGTTTGTGCTTGATATGTTGAAATAAAACTACACACAACTTTCAGTGGGCAGTCTATCTGAGAAATTATTTGTGTTGTTTCAACTTGGTTTTGTGTTTTAGTGCATTTTACAAGTAAATAGTTCTTAGGCCATGCTTTTGAGAGGAAAAACTGCAGGAAAAAGCCTTCAAGAATTTCAGACATAGGCTGTAAATTAGAACAGTAACAGCATTTTGATACCTCTCTGCCTCATACTATCCATGTCATCTAATTGTAGCAACTTCCTCAAAATAGAAAGAAAAGGGGTTGCCTTGGTTTTTGCTGTTGTAGGTGTAAATGTACAGACTTGTCTTGGGCTTGGAAAGCCTTTATATTCAGGAGGTAATTTGATGATAGAGAACAGATGGACCGAACCGTAAGTCTCTGACATAGCAGACAGGATAAGAGCTGGCATCAGGAAGCTGATGTTCAAGAAAAAAATGACATAATAAAGGGTGAGAGTGATTGAATAAGGGTTCTGCATCCTTGAGGAATCACTTTCAAGAATGTCAACATTCTCAATCCAGTTTGGGTGCTTTCTTGAAGGATGTCATCCTAGTCACTCCTTTCTGAGGACATGTGACCCATGCTGTGTGGTGTAAACCTTGGTGAGAGGAGAGTCTCCCCGGCCCCTGCCTGTGAAATAAAACCCAGCACTAATAATGCCTGCCTGGTTATGCAAAGTCCCCTATACACCTTGAAAGCGTTCACTCCTGGTGCTGTGCAAACATGTCTGCTAATGTGCAAACATCTCCTGTCTAATTGTCCCTTCAAATGCTTCAGACAGTCAGTGCAGCTCTGGCCTGTCAGCAGGGCCATCACCATCACACACACACCCTGTGGGACCATCAGTTGGAGATACTGAGAGGAACCTCTCCTCTTCTGCAAGGGTATTTACATCTCTTGGGTACAAATGTGTTCTGGTTTTGAGAAGTAGTTACTAGAAAAAAACCCGAAACAAACCAACAAAACAGAAATCCAAACCCACCTGAATGGGAGAGAAGCAGTGCTGAACAGGAAGCCTTTAATAGGTGTAAAGTGAATGCTTGAAATTCTTTGGATCATTTCCACGTTACCAAATTACATGCCCATAGGGATTTCACTGGGACGTGTTACTGCAGTTAAATCAAACAAACACTGTTACCATGAGAGGAGCAGTTCCATTAAAGCAACTATTAACTTATATAAACTATATATTGCCACAGGAGGAGCTTCCAACATATGCTACTGCATATACTGTAGGGGATTTAAAAATAATCCAGTAAGGAACAATCTAGAAATGCTCGTGCCATTAATTTTAATCCAGTTTCAACATCTGGAGGTGAATGTTCATACAAGCCAGTTATGTACACTTACAGAATGAAAGGTATCCGTGAGGAAAAGCAAAGCCAGAAATGTTGCTGTTTCTCTAGGAGGAATAATTGCTGGGAAAGAAGTGGAGAGCCCGTTTAGGACCTGAGAAAGCCCAGTTCTGCACCCACTTTGTGGGGTTTTGGAAAAAAATTCCCCTTCTGTCCTTTCCTCCTCCTTTCCGTGATGCCCTGCAGCAACACGTGAGCGTTGGGTGGAGACACAGGGATCAGGCCACCTCCTAACACGTTTCCTCCCGCTCCCAATAGGTGCGCGGCGGGGCGCGGGGCAGCTCCTACGGCACGACGCGCTCTCCCTGCCTCCGGCGGGGCAGCACCGTGCCCGGGACACACCATCCCTGCTCTCCCCGCTTCTCCGGGCTCCGAGGTCCCGGCGCGGCGGGGGCGGGGGCGGCCCCGGCCCGCCCCGGGGGCGGATAAAGCGGCGGGGAGGGCTCAGCTCGGCAGGTGCCCGCGCAGCGGAGCGC